AGTTAGACCAATTAATAAGTGGACCAGCTTGCCTCCAGAAGTTGTGAATGCCCCAACACTGGAAGTCTTTAAGAAGTTGTTGGATAGCCATTTGTCTGGAACGCTATAGGGTTTCATGCTTAGGCAAGGGGTTGGACTAGAATACCTCCAAGGTCCCTTCCAACTCTGCTATTGTATTGTATTGTATTGTATTACTGTGAGGTGGGTAGGACTGAGAAAGAGTGACTGGCCCAAAGTAACCCAGCTAGCCTTTATGATTAAGGTGGGACTTTAATTTATAGTCTCCCATTTTCATGGTTCATAATAGTTAAGGCATCAGGCTAAAACCCAGAAGACTGTGAGTTATAGTCCTGTCTTAGACTCAAAGTGACCTTGGGCTAGTCACTTTCTCTCAGCCTTAGGAATGAGGCAATAACAAACCATTTCTGCAAAAATCTTGTAAAGAAAACTGCAGGATTTGTTCAGGCAGTCTCTGAGAATTTGACCTGAAAAAAATGGGGGGAAATATCCATAATGTAGCATGTTTGGTTTAATTCATTATTTGTTTTTTTGTTTTTTCAATACTGTAGTTCTTTTTGCATCTCTTCTGTGGTTTCAACAGGAAAGGACCGTAATAAAAATTATTAATATTCAATTCCCAATGGGTGATGTCTTAAAAAATATGGATTGAGTTTTTTCAAGCTCCCCCGCTGTGTTGGGGGTGTAATTTGATACTGCTTTGTCCATAAAGCCTATTTGACAGCTTAAAATTAAAACATGTATTTCCTGCCTCAGAAGAGTTTGGGAAGTAACATATGTAGCTTTGTTGACAAGACCCTGCATTTAGGAATTGAGAAGTCCAGTTTTAGTCTTCAGAGTTAGAAGTTCTATGGTTTGAAATAGAAGATCTGACTGTTTCTGCCTTTTATCTCAAGAGCTGCCAGTTCTGAAATGGTAAAAAAGACAGATTGGAGCTTGTAGCCCATGGTTACTATGGTATTAATATCTTCATACTTAACAGTGATCTGTTCTGCTTTTGTTTTGAGGAGAACTATGACAAAAGATTAAAGTTTTTCTTAGTACTTATCTATGATATCTAACATAGAGCCCACCTTAGCCCAGTGGTGTTGAGGTAGCTGGCATGTCTTCCTGTTTTGAGACTTTGTGATTCCCTAATAGCTTGTATCTGGGGCAGTGGTAGGTTTCAATTTTTTTTAGAACCAATTCTGTAGGTGTGGCCTGTTTTGTGGGAGTGGCTTGGCAGTCATGTGATCAGGTGGGAGTGGCCAACTTGATGTCACTCACCAGGAGATGTCATGGATTGGGTAAAATGTGGAAGCTCACTTAACAACGCTCTTGCTTTACAACCAAAATTTTGGATTCAATTATAGTCATAAGTCAAGGACTATCTCTGCCTTNTTTTTTTCTTTTTTTCTTTTTTTTTATAGTAAATACCCTGTATATAAATGATTGCAAATGGAATGTGAAAATTGAATAAAATATTTTATGAAATTTTAGAAGGTTCTGCTCCATGCTATAATATTTTCATTCACCTCACTTCTAACTCTCTCTCCTCTATTCCTTCCATCATCTTGACTGCATTATAATTGTCCTTTAGTATAATCCTCTGCAAATTAAATTCCTATCCTTTTAAACTTCGTATATCCTTTTGAAAGAAAAAAATGCCTTTATGAGTAATTTTTAGGTTTTCTCTTTCCCTTTCAGTTGAATTCTAGATTAATATTACTAATGACTTTAGTTGATAGGCTTAAGCCAAGTTGATGATTTTTGGATTCAGGTTCAAAGTAATTTTTGAATAAGCAGTGAATCAGGAAAATTGATCGTGTGGTCTCTTTTACAACAGAATGGTCTATCTTTGAAGTATCCTGAAAAAAATGGTTGTCTACTGTATTTGGATAGATCTTGCTCAAGCAAATTTTAAAATTAACAAGGGGAAAGGGAAATATCCCATTCTCAATTTTTTAAACTGTTGCTGTACATATAAATTAGCATATATGTATTGATTTGATGGCCACTGTATTGTCAGTGATAGGTATCAAAAATATAAATAAAAAGCAAACGCATGGTATGAAGAGAATTTTTCAGTGTTAGCTGCTCTGGATATCTGGAAAACTGCTCTGTGTTTTTTTAAGTGCCTGGTGTTAATAATGCCAACATCTGTATTCAAGAAGAAGAGAGTTTGGTCAGCTGATTTTGTCCCAGAAGGAAAAAGCTAGAAACTTATCACTTGAGCTTTTGAATGAGTATCTGTTTGCTTATGCTCCACCCACCGGGGCAAAGGTCAGGATCTAGCCTACTCATAAATCGTCTTGCTGATGAGAGATAAAATAACTAAAGAAAGCCTGTTCAGAACAGCAGCTGCAAAGGGGAAAAGTATAGTTGCAAGAATGGGGGAGCATGTTGACACTGCAGGAAATTCCAAGGAATATAAATATTTATCACTAGTGAGATAAAAATTGTGGCCTCAATGAATATGTACCAAAAGGAGACCCAAAATTTGTCCTGTAGTAAATGGGATCTTCCTTTGGTGCACATCAGGAATCCCTCAGTGCATGTTTCCTTACAATACCAGTACTGCATATTGGCAAAAAAATACAGTATTGGCAAAATATATCTTAAGAAGAGTAGAAATATCTTTAAGTTATTTTTGTCTTAAATTGTTTGAGTTTCCAAGTGGATTTCTATATGTTTATTACAATTTTAATCACCACCTTGCAACTTTTATGTGTGATTATTTAGATTAGATTGTTAAAATCATTAAGATCTTCTATCGATTATTCTGGGTTTCTAAAACTATAGGGCAGCTAATAAAAATGAGATCCATATCCTCACTTGAAAATTCTCTTCAGATCATGCCAATGTTTCAAAATAATAATACTATGGAACTGTCGTTTACATTGATGGACAAAAGGGGGGAAATAAAAAATGCTAACATTAGATTAGAACAGCACTTCCCAAAAAGGCAACACAACTCCTTGAAGGCAATTCTGAAGTTCAACAGGAAAGTTAAGGGACATTAGGGTGCTGTAGAAAAATATGTGTTTTTCACTCTACAGCAGCCTGTAGAGACAGATCTTTCCCAGAGTTTATAGTGTCTTCTTTCTCAACTGTACGGTATAAGTCAGAACTTATAAAGAATTTGATTATGGTTATAGTGATTGTAAAGGTTGTAAGACAATACTAAAGTGATGAGTGATAACCATAAAGTGAGAAGATTTTGATAAAATGAAAAGGAGGATATTTAACTAACAAATGTAAAATGCTGCACCTGGATTGGAGAAAATGAAAGGCTTTGGTTTGGGATGGAGAAGATATGGTTTGGCAAGAAGACATGTCAGACTTGTAGAACACAAATTAAATAAGATCCCATTGCTAAAAAAAATGCAAATGCTACTTTGGGGCACATTAACAGAAGCAGAGTCCAAACCATGGAAAACAATTGCTCCACTTATTCTGCCCTGGTTAGATTCTTTCAGTGTTGTTCTATATATCCTGTTTTGGGCACCACCATTTAAAATGGACACCAGTAGGTCAGAGGAGGGCTATTACACTGATGAGGGACTTAAATATGTATTGCTTGGTTCTCCACCTATTGGAGAAGAAAGGGTATCCAAAATAAACTTTTTCTTTGTACTAATTGATGACGGAATACAAAGTCACACATAAAGGACATAGAAAGGGCCAAGATGTAAAAACTCAAAAGTTCATAGTCTCTATTACAGTGTTGTGAGGCCTAGATATAAGGAACATCTCAGATAAATGTGGAGGACATTTGAATTATTTATTTAACATGATAATTTTATTCATAAGGATATGTCAAGAACTCTTCCCAATTAGACTGACAGACTGTTTCAGGAATGAGAAAACAAGTATGTTTTAGATAATTTGGCCTCAAAATTATTAGCTGTACCCAGCCTGGCCATTGGTAAAATATTGGACTGTTTGTCCAAAACATTTGATAAGCAATAATTCTTTTCCCATAGCTAGTCCAGCATTTTGTTCCCATAGGATCCAAGCAAAGAAGCTCACAGGCTGAATGTGGAGACAACAGTGTTTTCTTAACTGCCCTCTAGGAACTGATAATTAAACTATCTAACTGAGTGTCAAAGATTTCAAAGGTTTTTTTTACCAATAATAGCCACATTCTCCATACTCTTCTCTAAACCTCTCTAAATTTGTGGATCTCCTATGAGGAGACAGTGAATTATTTGGTTGAATATATGCTAAATAATGAAACATCTTATCAATCCTGATTCTTTCTATAACTACTAACTTTTAATTCTATTATTGTGAAAGAGAGAAAAAACATTTATCTACTTTTTCTATTATGTATATAGATTTATATATTTTTATCTTGTTTTCTCTCTGCTTTCTTGTTCATCTCCTTTCTAAGTCCCAAACTCACTATCTGCCATTATAGGAGGGATTATGAATCAATTTATTTATTCGCTTAAAAAGACTAATAGAAAGTTTTTTGTATCATATTTTTCAGAGGAAAAATTACCGCTATGCTCTTTCCATCAGTGTGTCATTTGAAGTAAAGAAGATGCCATACAAAGTTCAGCCAGCAAAACTTCCTGAAGGAAGCATAGCTGTGAGTAGCACTGAAAATAAATATAGAACATTAATGTCCGTTGTTTGGATAATTTTTACTGTGACAGAATATATTTATAGACAGGAGTTTCAAGATAAGAGTTTCCTGTGTTTTCTAATGCAGATCCATTTTTTGAATGTTTTTTAAAAGATAGTCATCTGAGTTTTCAAATAATTTCACATGTTGGTTGTGTTTCCATGTTAATAGTTGTTAGTTGTATATAATGACAGAAAATGCAAATCCCAATATACCAGGGATAGATATGCTTCTGGTACATTATGTTCTTGGAAAGGGCAATAGTCACAGTTACATATATGCTGCAGTACATGTTTGTTTGCTTATAATTCACATTTCTAAAATCACCTAATTTCTCAACAAAATAGTGGGTGAGGATATATGGTTGAGTATTATCAACTGATGATAACTGACACAATGGCAGCAGATGACCTCACCTAGAAGATTCATGTAGATGTTAAATGGGAGGGGTATAATGCCAAGCCCTAAAGAATTTTACATGTGAGAGACTTTGGACTTTATCTCTTCCCATTAACTTTGATTGGATTCACATGTAGAAAGGAAGAACAAGAAGCCTATCTGAAAAGATTCCAGATAAACTACTTCATCCAAGACCTCTTGTAGTTAAGGCCTTGCAGAAATTGGAGATCAAAGTCTAGAAAACAGATGTCCATGACTGTTGCGTTTAGTGATATTTTTTTTAAGAAGGACATGCGACCACTTTCCAAGCAGATGAACCGCATCCATCTTCCTTCAGGAAGTTACATGGACCCAGTCACATGGCACTTTTTTGGGGATCTTCACCAATCTGAAAGGATTTATATGTAATAAGTAGTAGGGGTAAATTATTAGACCCAAGGTTCACTTCCTTAGGAATTATAAGATCAAACACTTCCCAGGAACAAGACTATGTTTAAATTGCATTGACTGGATCTCTCCATTCTAAATCTAACACTAAACAGATCCATTGTTTGTTAACTTCTAACAATATTCTTCATAGCAGCCTTGCAAATGTTGTTAAAATCTATTTTTTTTATAGAAAGCAACAGGTCAGATTAAAAAGGGACTTTTTGCAACTTTTATTGCCACTATATAATCAATGATGAGACTAGTGAAATATAACTATTTATTCTATTTATTTACTTATTTGTATTATTTTTATAAATGACTCAAGATGGCGAACATATCCAACACATCTTTCCTCCTCTTATTTTCTCCCTAACAAAAATATTGTGGAAACTAATCAAGGAGAGAAGCAACTTAGAACTGAGGAGAAATTTCCTGACAGTTAGACCAATTAATAAGTGGACCAGCTTGCCTCCAGAAGTTGTGAATGCCCCAACACTGG